GAAGGCTGTGCCTGCAGGGAGGGCTGTTGGTTCACCTCTTTGGGGCACGCGGTGGCCTGAGAGGCTCTGTGCACTCCTTTGGATCCCTCGGAGGAACTGTGGGGCCTCTGTCTCTTTTCTATCCTTCTTACTGTCTGTCCTTTCCCCCCAGGGCCCGTCTTTGGAAGCAAGGATAACTTCCTGGGCCTGGGGGTGTTTGTGGACACCTACCCCAACGAGGAGAAGCAGCAGGAGGTGAGCTGGGGTTGATGTGTGCCCTGCTGGCTGCAGTGTGGGCAGCTCAGCACCGAGCTCAACTTGCAGCCAGCGAGGTGTGAGCTTTTTGGATCTGAAATTGGAGGCCGGCTGGCTGCCAGCAGGCATTACTCAGCTTGCCTTGCCTCCTTCTCCTCCCCGCGTGGTCGGTTTCTTTGTAGTGAGGCAGTCTGTGAGCAGATTTGTTGTCACCTTCACCCAGAAAAAGCAGGGTAGAAGAAAACAAATGGGTCACCACCGCTGCGTGGTGAGCTGCTGAGCTTTTGGAAGGCTGCAGGCAAGCAGGAAGCAAACGTGGACTTCATGGAGCTCGAGCAGAGCAGCAGCCCGGCAGCCCCCCCAGCTGGCTGCGTGCTGGGGCTGCTTTTGGAGGGGCACAGCGTGCCTGCGCTCTGCTGCTCTGCCTGCTGTGTCTGCTTTTTGCCTGGGGCTCTGTTGGTGTTGGTTGGGGTCGTGAGGCGGTTAAAACCTGACCTCCCCCATCCTGGTGCTGCTTTGTTGTCACTTGTGAAACGATTCGCCTTTTGGTAACTGCGGCTTCTCCTGGTGAACAGGCACTGTTTTACCCCCACAACCTCAGTGCTCTCCCCGTACCCCCAGGGCTGCCCTGGTTCCTCTCTGCAGCCCCCAGAGGATGCAGGGGGCACCGCTGCGATGCGCCCTGACCTTGCAGCTGCTGAATAAACAACGTGCAAACGTTGCTAGCAGCCTGCTCTGGCCCTGGGTGGACTTTGTGCTCATAGCCGTGCCTTGGTGTGCTCTGACCGAAGGCTGTGGTGCTCCTGGCACCGTGCAGGGATCGGTGCCGTGTTGGTCCCACGGATGTGCAGGGCTGTGGCTGTGCTTCTCCAGCCCGCCAGCTGCATCCTGCCTGAGAGCCCCAGCAGCTGAACCCCCCCCTCTGCCTTTTGCCCTCGCTGAGCTGCACACAGAAGATTCCCAGGTTGCAATTTAGAGTTGCTAAACTCTGGTCTGTGACCATTTTGCTTCTGTGCTCTTTCTTGCTTTGCGATACTGGACTCGCAGGCTCAGAAGAGGAGGTACAGCCCAGGAAATCAGGTACTTGCTCTTGCTGACATCCCCATTTCCGAGCTGCTTGGTGATACTTTGTCCTCTCGGTAAGGGAATTCCCTCAATGGAGCTGCAGGCACCCCTGTGTGAGCAGGGAGCAAGCATGAGAACTTCCTCTTCTGTCCTACACGTGTGGTAGCCAAGGCGAGGGGATGACCAGGGATGGAGCTTTTGGGGAAGCGTAGCTGGGGTGAAGGAACCTGGGGTCAGTAGGAAGCCACAGAATCACAGAATACCCCGAGTGGGGAAAGGACCCGCAGTGATCCCAGCTCCTGCTTCCAGCTGGGACCACCCGAAATTCAGCATTTCCAGACCCCGCGGTCGCGCCGCGATGCCGGGGCAGAGCTGGGAGCTGAGTTTGGCCCTTGTCCCCGCAGCGTGTTTTCCCCTACATCTCCGCCATGGTGAACAACGGCTCCCTCACCTACGACCACGACAGGGATGGCAGACCCACGGAGCTGGGGGGCTGCACAGCCATGGTGCGCAACCTCAACCACGACACCTTCCTGGTCATCCGCTACGTCAAGAGGAGGCTGACGGTGAGTTGCTGCTTGCTGGGGGGCTTTCGGGCAGCCGTGCTGGGCCTGGTGCTACCAGAACCTCTTTGTTTGCAGGTGCTGATAGATATTGATGGTAAGCAGGAGTGGAGGGACTGCATCGACGTGCCTGGCGTGCGCCTGCCCCGTGGGTACTACTTTGGGACCTCCTCTGTCACCGGAGACCTCTCAGGTACTGCTGCGTGGGCCCTGAGCAGCTCTTGTGCAGCTTTGGGTGTCTGGAGGTGCAGCTGAGGCGTGGAGGGGCTTCCAGAGCGCCTGAGGATCTCCTCCTGCTTGAGGGAACTTTGTTTTTCATCTTGGGAAGCTCGGATCCCGGTCTGGGTGTGCTGTGCAGCTCCATAGGCAGCTTTGAGCTCCATCTGCCATCAGATGAGGCTGGCGGTGATGTCCGGGCAGTGAATGGGCAGAGCTCAGCCAGCACCTCCTGCCAAACAGCAGCTGCTCGGGAGGGTTGGTCCCCAAGCTGTGAGGAGGGTTGGTCTCCAAGCTGTCAGGAGGGTTGGTCTCCAAGCTGTCAGGAGGGTTGGTCCCCAAGCTGTGTGCCTCAGGAGGAGCAGAACAGAGCGAGAGCCGAAAACCTCATCTGTGATGGGCAGAGCCTGAGGGCAGCGCTGAGGTCGCTGCTGTCCTGCTGCTGGGGGTTAAAACACTGCTCTTAAAACGCTGTGAGAACAGAGGTGCTGGCTGTGCTGTCAGAGCAGCTGGAGTCTGCTCTTTGCATTTCCTAACTGCAGGGCAGTGGTGCTGGGGAAGGGTGCAGTGTGGGCTGATGGAAGCGGTGCTTTGCAGGAGCTGAAGCCCTTTGCCTTTCTCTGCTCACCCCTTCTCTTGCAGTGCTGCTTGGGGTGCTGTGAGGCCTGGAGTTACCCAGCTCTGTCTCGCCGGGCAGGTTTTAAGCCTGATTTTGAGTTACGCCCTATGAAAGCACACTGGCTGGTGTCTGGGCCCGGTGTTGGCTCCAACAAAAGTTCCTTTTCTTCCTCAGATCTCTGCCTAATGCCCTGGGAGCTGGCAGGCTGGCCTGGAGCACTCGCGTTGTCCCACTAATAACACCCCGGTCACAAGCAGAGGAAATAGGGTCATGTGAGGCTGATTCTAACACTCTGCTTTTGCAATGGGGGAGCGTGAATGCTTTTGAGTCAGACCGTGGCTCGGTCCGGGCTGTTGTTTGTCGGTTTAAGTAGCTTAAAGGTTCCCGTTGGAGGTTTTGGAAGAGCTCAGAGCCCTGAGGAGGTGAGTTCTGCTGGGAGGGGACAGCTGGCATCCCGGGGCCGTTGGCTGAGCGACGACGTCCCACGGTGCCACCAGTGGCATTGGCATCCCTGGCTGGGGCCGTTTTGCTGGGTGACACCTCAGGGTTCATCTGCTCTGCTCGCAGACAACCACGACATCATCTCTCTGAAGCTGTACCAGCTGACGGTGGAGCGGACGCCGGAGGAGGAGCGGCGGGACAAGGAGGTTTACCTGCCTGTGGTGGACAACCTCAAGCTGCCAGGAAGTAAGTGGGGGGTGGAGGAGCAGGAATTGTGGCGTCTCAGCAGGGAAGCAGCTGAGCTCTGTTAGGAATCGTGCCGCTTTGGTTGGGAGGATGGCGATGAGCTGCTGCGCAGCAACCGAGGCCTCACGGCTGTTCCTCTCCCCTGCAGTGGAGGCACCGCTGGAGCCCATGAGCGGCCTGGCTCTCTTCTTAATTGTCTTCTTCTCCCTCGTGGCCGTCGTCTTCGCCATCGTAATCGGAGTCATCGTGTACAACAAGTGGCAGGAGCAGAGCCGGAAGCATTTCTACTGAAGCTGCAGTGTGACAGGCTGCCTCGTGGCAGCGCCCCCGGTGTCCCCAGGAACCACGGTGGGGACGGCTGCTGTTTGTCACTGGGCTCCTGGACTCCCCCGGTGCCAGAGGGGACCCGCGTTGTGCTGGGGATGAAGCTGCTGTCCCCTGCAGGCCTGCTGGGAGCTGGAGCTGGGCTCTGGGAGCTGCTGGAGGTGGCTCGCAGCGCGGTGGCGGCGCTGGGCTGGCTCTGCCATCGCGCATCCGCGGCGGTCACCGCTTTGGCTGTGAAGTCCCAGCCCTGCTTTCCTCGCCGGGTTCCTGCCACAACCCCTTTGCAGCGGTTTCGTTTCCAGGAGGGCTTTGCCAAGCTGTTCTCCTGCTCAGGCTGCTCCCATCACCCACCTCAGACCTTCTTTAGAGACCCTCCTGCTTTTTCTTCGCCCCTCAAACCTCTGTGCAGCCCCTCCATCCATTAACCCCCGGTGCTGGGTGTTCTGAGGACACGCTGACTGCTTCCCCGCTCCAGGAAGGGTTCAACACCGCATTCTCCCTTCTCAGTCCCTGTTTGCTGCTGCCCTGGGGCTCGGCTCTGTCCCTCTCTGGCATTCTGTGCCTCCACACACCTCCAACACCGCCTGCATGTCGTTGCTTTGCCGGCTCGTTGCTCCCAGCAGCAGCAGCTGAACCACGGGGGCCTCTCAGAGCCGCAGCCCTCGCTGCCTTCCAGGGAGTCCTGGTTTATTCCTACCTCAGTGACTGCTTCTGTCAGTGACTCCTCGCTGTGTTTCTCTCATGGGAAGAAGCAGCGTCGCCCCGGGGGCTGCACTGGGCTCCTGCAGCTGCTCTCGTGGATTTGGGGGGTGATGGCACGGGGTGCCCACAGGGACGGCAGGTCGGTGCGTCCCTGAGCTCTGAGCACGTCCAGGTGGCAGCACTCTGCTCATGGGTGCTGCAGGCAGGGCTGGGAGCTGTTTTTGACCCAGGATGGGTCCCAGCGTGCGGGGAACGGTGCCTTGTGGGCAGGATGCTTGTACTGGGGTGGATGGAAGCTTGTTAAAGTGCCCGAAGAGCCGCTGTGGGGCCTGGAAGGGGGGCTGCTCTGTGATGTTTTGCCTCTGTTTTGCCTGAGAGCCAGGAGTGAAACGTGTGCACCTCTTCCCAGCTGTAACGTGTCTTGGAATAAATGTCGGTGTGTGTGTGGCACCGCTGCGCTCCTTGTGCTGAGCTCCTCCTGGCGCTTTGCTCGCAGAACTGCTCTGCCTCGCCCGTCTCAGTTCTGATTTTATTAAGGAGGGGACGGGGCTGCGCCCCCTCGGTGCTCCGTCCTCCGATGCTGTGGATGCTCAGTGTTTGCTCCCAGCACCGAAGAGGCGCAGCGGGCTCACCAGCTTCATGGCCAAGTAACCCTGAGGGGGGAGGAACGGGGGGAGGGGGGCTCAGCAGGGCTCCGTGAGCAGCAGGAGGGGGTTTGGGGGGCCCTTTGCGCTCACCGGGGCAGAGTAGATGAAGTTGAGGAGCAGAAGGAGCAGCAGCAGCAGCGCCGCGGTCGCGGTGATGCGGCAGCGGTGCCGCCGCCAGACGGCGTAGCGCAGGGCGCGCAGCGGGGCCAGCAGCCACAGGAAGGACGAGTCGGGGCGCCTGGTGGACGAGGAGCCGCGTCACCCCAACCCCTGCCTCCCCCTCTGCGCCCTTCGGGATCTGCGAGGCTCACACGGGGGGCTGCAGGGGTGGGTACGCGTTGGGCTCCTCCCGGCCTTTCCCCGCCGGTCTCTCTTCTGCTTCTTTCTCGTCGAGCAGCTCCAGGCTCAGCTCCAGCTTGCCCTACAGGAGGAGCAGCGGGTGGATATGGGGCGGGATGAGTTTCCCTGCCCTTCCTCCCCCCCCCCCCCCCAAATCCCACTGCCCTCCCCTTCCCCGCCGTACCGCCATGCGCTGCGTGCCACCCTCGTGCACCACGCAGGGCCACCAACCCCGCGCCAGCTTCTGTCGGAACAGAGAGAAACGGGGGGGTCCCCGAGCCTTCCCCCAGGGCCAGGGGCTCAGACGTGGCTTTAGGGTGCAGTCCTGCGGCCGCTGGGCTGGACGGGGCAGCCGGGTGAGCTCCAGCTCCAGGATACCTGCAGGGAGAAGCGTCAGCCCTGGGTGTCCCTCTGTGCCCCTCCTCGGGTGGGCAGAGGGACCCTCACCCAAAAAATCATCGGCTGAAAACTTGTCGTTGTCCCACACTTGGAGGATGAGCTTCGGGGGCACCTTCAGCACCGTCTCATCCAGGCTCCAGAAGTGCTCCTGCACGGTGTGAGGGGAGGAGAAGGGGGTCACTCCCGGCTCCCAAAACCTCGTTTCTCCCCCCCTCACCACGGGGCACGGCACCTTGCGGGGCAGCACGCAGCGCTGCTCGGCTGCCAGGTACTGGAAGGGGAAGACGAAGCGCCAGTGGAAGCTGCCGTCGCCCTGCAGCGCCCGGTAATGCACGTCCGTCCTCTGCTTCTGCTCCTCCAGCCCATCCAGCCAGCTGCACGCCGTGGGGAGGGAGGAACAGCTGTCCTCACGGCCCCCCCACCTTGTCCCCACGGCCTTTGGGACGCAGCGCTGGCCCCGCGCTCACCCGGTGACGTAGATATCGCTCATCCTCTGCCCTGCTGCGCTGATGTCCCCTGGCTCCACGTCGCGGGTGTTCCACACCACACAGCGCAGCTCATAGCTGGGGAGGGGGGGTTGTGTCACCCACCCACCCCCCGCCTCCCCCCGGGGACATTCCTGTCCCGTGGAGAGCTCTCACCTCTGGGGTTTGCGGGGAGTGATGTCCACGGGGGGTCCAGGGGGGCCGAGGCTGGCGGGGAAGATGTCCACCCACATCTGCACCTTGCCCTGTGCCGTGGGGTGGATGTGCTGCCGCTTGTCCCCTTGTGAGCTCCCCGTCACCCACCCCCAGCATCCCACCTTGTGCCCACTGTGTTAGGACCCCCCCCTAACCCACCACCCATCATCTCCAGGCATCGCTTTATGGTATGGTGTCCCAATTGTCCCCAAACCAGCATCCCTCCCTGCTGGGCTGTCCCTGTCACCCCAGGGTCCCCATTGCCTCCAAACCAGCATCCCTCCCTCTCACCCCACTGCATTCCCTCCATGCCCGAGGTTTCCACCACCCTCAGCTTTGTCCCCACCACCCCCAGGCCCAGCACCTCTCCAGCTTCCCCTACCCCCCCCACTCCTCTTTTCCCATCACCCCCTGACATTTCTTTGCCCCCACCACCCCATCCCCACCTGCTCCAGCCCAGGCTGGGTGCTGTTGTACAGCGTCCTGGTCTCCAGATGCTCGGGGACGAGGTTCCATGCATGCAGCACATTCAGGGCCAGGCGCTCCCGGGGCGCCCCGGGGTGACGATATGTGGGGGGTCCACTCTCTGCAATGCCAAACCCTCTGGATGGACCACCAGAGGGACCCCCTCACCCCCCCCCCCCCCCCCCCCCCCCAGACCCCAACCCACCAAAATGGCTCAGCAGGAAGGTGGAGCCCCCAAAGATGACGGCGGTTCCATCGGCGCTGAATTCGGGTGCCTGCAGCCCCCGGGTGTGAGCCAGGTGCTCCAGTGCCCGGCTGGGGCTCAGCTGGTCCCGCCAGCGCCCAGGGCCATCGCTGTGGGCAGTGTGGGGCTGAGGGCTGTGGTGTTCATCCCTTCACGCCCACCCCGTAGCCCCGTGCCCACCCAATCCCCTCGTCTTCCCCTTTGTGTCATCCCCAGCTCCCCATGCCCGTCCCCATGTGCCCTTCCCAGCTCCCCGTGTCCTCTGTGCCAACCCCGTCCCACACCCCATCCCCAGCTCCCCATGCCCATCCCCTCGTTCCCAGCTCCCCATGCCCCCTATGCCAACCCTGTCCCACCTCCCTGTTCCCAGTTCCCTCTGCCCATCCCCTTGGTCCCAACCAATCTCCATCCCTGCTGCTGTCCCATCCCACCCCATCGTCCCCAAATCCCTGCCCACTCTGTCCCCGATTCCTGTTCCCAGTCCTGTCACTATCCCATGTACCCACTTCATCCCCTGTGCCCTCCACAACTCTTTTTCCCCACCTTCCTTCATCCCTATGCCCTCTTCAACTCCGTGTCCCCATGTCCCTGTGCCCTCCCCATCTTGTCCCCACACCTTTGTGCCCACCTCCCTGCCCCCCTGTCCCCCGATGCCCCCCATCCCCTTGTCCCCATGCCTCCGTTCCATCCCCATGTCTGTGTCCCATCTCTTTGTCCCCATACCCCTGTACCCCTCATACCCTCCTTGTCCCCATGCCGCTGTGCCCTCCTCACCTCCCTTGCCCTCATCCCTCCATACCCACCCCCTCCCCACATCCCTACCCCCAATCCCAGAGCCCCCTCCCCATTCTGGGGGTCACCCACATGCGGTACAGACGGGGCAGCCCACAGTGGGCACGGAATCGGGACAGCAGCCGGTTCTCCAGGTCGATGGTGGTGCTTCCAATCTCCTGGTCGGGTGGCAGCAGGTCGTGGTCCAGCAGTGAGACCCTCAGGTCCTTCTCCAACGGGACGGTGCCCATCACCTCGAACATCCTGGCAGTGGGGTCAGCCCCGAGGTGAGCCCACGTGGGGACGAGCACCGGTGGGCATGGGGACCTGCTGGCACCGGGGCAGGGGCTGACAGGTGTGGGATGTGCTGGCGTGGGGACTGGGGGGCATAGGGAGCTGGTGGTGTGAGGAATGGGCGTTATGGGACCTACTGCCATGGGGAAGGGGGAGCTGGTGGCATGGGGACCTTGGTGGCATTGGGACTTGGTGTTATGAGACCTGCTATCATGAGGAATGGGGACTTGGTGGCGTGGGGGATGGGAGCTCGGTGGCACAGGGACTCATTTTTGTTGGAGCTACTATTATGGGGAACGAGGAGCCGGTGTGGTGCCATGGGGACTTGGTTTTAGGGGGCCAACTGCCATGGGGAATGGGGTCTCGGTGGCATGGGAACTTGGCTATGAGCCCTTTTGTCGTGAGGAATGGGGAGCTGGTGGCCGAGGGAATGGGATCCTGGTGCCATGGGGACTTTGTGTTACGGGACCTGCTATCATGGAGACTGGGGAGCTGGTGGCACGGAGACTTGGTGGCAATGGGGAGTGGGAACTCAGTGGCAAAGGGACTTGGTGTTATGGGACCTACTGGCAAGAGGAATGGGAACTTGATGGCATGGGGACCTGCTGGTGTGGAGAATGGGGACTTGGTGACATGGGGAATGGGATCCTGGTAGCATGGGGGCTTGGTTTTATGGGACCTGCTGTCACGAGGAATGGGGAGCTGGTGGCATGGGGACTTAGTGGCATAGGGAATGGGATCACGCTGGCATGGGGACCTGCTGTCATGAGGAATGGGGACCTGCTGCCATGATGATGCGGTGTTACAGGGGCACACCTGCATGGGGAATGGGGAGCTGGTGGCATGGGGACCTGCTGGCGTGAAGGAGGGGGATGTGGTGCTGCGGGGACCCTCCAGCACGAGGAATGGGGGCACACTAACAGAGAACTGCTGGCACAGAGACCTGAAGGCAAATTAGGGATGTGGTGGCATGGGGGGTGGGGATCCCCCAGCATAGAGCCCCTACAGCCCTCCTGGGCACCTCTGCTCTGTGCCAGCCAGGAGTGGCAGTGCCACCAAGCCACCCACGGTGGCCCTACCTGCCAAAAACTGGCTCCACGGTGTTGGGCACATAGTGGTCACGCTTGCCCAGTGTCTTTGCTCCCAGCGAGACACGAACGTAGGGGTCACACTGGCAGCAGGGAGGGGGCCGTCAGGGTGACGGATGGTGACACACGGGGTGGGGGACGCGGCGGTGGCCTTACCATCCCATTGCGGTCACGGGGGGACAGGTCGAAGGCACGGACGATGTAGACGCGCACCAGGCACTGCTGGGGTTGGCTGGGGGGCAGCTCCTGGAAGCGGCGGGGCGGCGGGGGCACCCCGGGGTCCTCGGGTAGGGGGTAGAGACAGAACAGCCCCTGGGAGAGGGGGACAGCATGGCCGTGCACCCCCAGTTCCCCCCATCCTGGGTCTGGGGTCCCTGTGGGCACGGGGGTCTCACCTTGAACTCGCCCACAGGCACGGGGTCGTCCCCCTGCTGCCCCCCCGGCTGGTAGAGGGGGAAGGTCTGGCAGAAATCCTGCAGCCCCTCGAATTTGGGCACCGCCTCCAGCTCGCAGCCGTACACCTGCGGCACAGCGGGGCTGCCTTGTCCCCATCCCTGCTGTGCTGTTTCTCCTCTTCCAGTCCCCTTCTTCGTGGCTGTTCCCATCCCATCACTGTCCCTGTCCCCAGTCATCTTCATTCCTGTCCCATTCCTGTCCTTGTCCTCGTCTCGTCTTCACCCCCCGTCCCCAGCCTTGTCCCCGTCCTTGTCCTCATCCTGTATTCACCGCAGTTCTTATCTCTGCCCCATCCTCATCTCTACCACTTCTTCATCACTTTCCATCCCTAACCCTCATCCCCATCCTGTTTCTCCCCCAGTTTCCATCCCTGACCATGTTCCCCTCTTTATCCCCGTATCCTTATCACCAACCATCCCCGCCTCCATCCCCATCTTTGTTCTTACCACCACCCCAGCCCCGTCCCAGTCCCACCCTATTCCCACCCCCATCCCCACCTCTGTCCTTCCTACCCCATCCCCATCCCCTGCCCCATGTCACGCTGTTCCCCTCACCTTCAGGCTGTCCCTGTGTGTCCTCCGGTGGCTCTTTGCCGTGTCTCCCATGGCCATGTAAAATTTGCTCCACCAGTCGCCTTCTTCCTCATCCTCCTCCTCCCTCTCCGTGTCCTGGTGGGCAGCAGGGTGAGGCAGGATGCCTCTGGTGGCCCCTGGTGGCCCCCAGTCCCTTTGCCCACCTTGTCTGCAGTCCCCTTCTCAGCGGCCACCTTGGGCAGCATCTGTTGGGAGTGGGGGGGACATTTGGGAACAGGAGGCGGGGGGACCCCGCGGCACAGCCTGGGCTGTTGGGGGTGGGGACAGGTTTTGGGCACACAGGGGGGCTCACCTGAGCAATCCTGCCCCAGGCAGCAGCTGTGTGGGGGGGGGACACAAAGTGAGTGTCCTGCAGAAGGACGGGGATGGGACAGCAGGGGGGAAGAGGTGGGACAGGGAGGGGGCATGGATGGGACAGGGATGAGAAAGGGATGAGAAAGGGATGAAGCAGGGATGGGAAAGGGATGGATGGGATGGGACAGGGATGGGACAGGGATGGGGCAAGGAGGAACTGGAGTCAGGGACAGGGCAGGGAGGGGGTAGGAGGATAAGAGGGACAGAAAAGGGGCGGACAGGGATGGGGTAGGAATAGGAACGGGATGGTGGTAGGGATAGAGATGGAACAGGGATATCTGAGGGATGGGGAAGGGACGGGGATGCAGTAGAGGGTCCCAGGGAGAGGGCATGGAAGGGGCCGGGGGCGGGGGGGGTGGGACAGGGTTGTACCGGGGTTGGAACCCGACACAGGGACACGAGGTTGGGGCAGCTGCTCCTCTCCATCGGGCTCACGGCGGAACCTCGCCAGGTCCTGCACGCACGCCTGGCCCACGTGGGGCCGGAACCCAAAGCCCTGCGTGTCCAAAACCCGCAGCCGGATCGGGGGCACGTACTCCTCCTCCACTGGTAGGTGCTGGGACCAAGCCACGCCGTCACCCCGGGCTGCCAGCACCCACGGGTGGGCTCTGCTCCCCGTCCCCGTGTGCTCACCAGCGTCAGCAGGAAGGCGTTGATGGGGAAATTGGGGTTGGTGGCGAGGTCGGTGATGGGGGGGATGCGCAGGACGTGCCCCCCACACTGCACCTCCAGGCTGGGGGCGCGCACGGGCAGCAGGCAGCGGCCACGGAGCCCCCGCAGCCCCCACGCCAGCACCTGCAGGGCCCACATCCGTTCAGCCCTGTCCCTCACCCATCTCCATCCTTTCCTGCATCCCTGTCCTTTTCATCCCCATTTCCATCTTCTTCATTGCTGTCTTTGTTGCCTCCTGGTCTCCATCCCCACCCTTGTCCCCTTCCCATCTTCATCCCATTCTCCATCTCTGCCCCATTCCTGTGCCCAACCCAATCCCCAACCCATCTCCATTGCTGTCCCTGTTCCCATTCCTGTCCTCATTGCTGTCCTGTCTTTGTCCACATCCTTGTCCCCAGCCTCCCTGTCCCCATCTTGTCCTATCCCATCATACCTTGTCCTATCCCATCCCATCCCATCCCATCCCATCCCATCCCATCCCATCCCATCCCATCCCATCCC